AAGTTTGAACCATTCCTACCGCGTCCTGACGGACGTCTTTCCGGAGATTACGGACTTGAGGATAGGTCATGACCCTTCAGTCCAGTCCTGGGATGTCCATATTGTTAACACCACACACTGCATAAAGGTGGTGCGGGAACGGGAAACAGAAGCGGCTAAAGCGATCGGTAGCTAAGCTACGCCGGCTCAACATAATCCAATTGCTAGCAAGACGTCAATGGATATCAGCTAATGTGGAAAAGATGCGGATGAATCACGTCGATGGTCTCAAGGTGACTTTGGAGAGGACGAAGAAGCGTGTTGTTGTCTCCCTACAAGCGGATCGCAAATTGGGAACCGGATCAGCACTTCACTTCACTGCTGACCCATTACGGAACGGCATTTACGCAATCCATGCCTACAGCGGATCCATTTGCTTCTGAATGGACCGTCGCCATAGCCACCGCACTACGTCGCTGTCTATATTTGCAATGCATTTTCGGTCTTTTGCTTCCCTACCGCCGGATCAATGCCTTAAAGCTGACGACAATGAACGCTTACTTTTCCCCTTTACGGAAGCAGAGGTGATATATGCTATCAAAGGGCCCACTCGCCACGAACCGACCGGCCCGATGGGCTCAGCAACTACTTTCAAAAGGATACGGTATCGCTCATGATCCCAGGGATGGTCATAAATAGTAATGAAATACTCGAGGGATCGGAGCTGCGTACATCCTTCCTGGAGCCACCAATTACCCTTCTTCGATATAGGACAGCGCTGATGACGCCATAGATAATTAAACGATCGCGTTAGTGAAAACAAGCTGCAAGTCTTTGCGAAGGTGCTAGCCACCGGCTTCAATACGCTTTGCTTAGGCCCATCAGCGCATCACAAAAGAGTTTTGTGCAAGGTCACAACACTTCAAAGCCATGTATGATGGTGATGACTCAACTTACGACTGCAGCAATTCGGACGACGTGACGGCCGATATGAGCCAATGTATCCTGTCACGGGACTTTCGTAAGTCGTACGATACTGGATACCGCGCATTCATGTATGATTTGTTTCGGTAGTTTGACTTCGAAGAACGATTCGTCGACCTCTTTTGACGCATCACACTGTCACGTCAGTTGTTGTGAACGGTAGTCAGTCTCAGACACTCCTGGTGTAGTCGGGGTTTCGGCAGGGTTGTCCGCTTGCGCCGCTCTTATTTCTACTGGTGGCTGAAGTAATAGGGACAGCTTTACAGCAGGACTCAGTGCTTCAAGAGCATAAGGCGCCGGGTCTACCGTGGCACACGCGCCTGTTTTCAGCGTTTGTAGACGACTCCACGATCCTTCTAGAGAGGACAGGGCATCTCCCGCACGCATTAATAATTACCGACGCTTTTAACGCACTGGCGGGCTTGCATATCCAACCGACCAAAACTAACTAGCGTATATTAACCGAGCTATCACTGTTGAGCGCTTCGCGGGCATCGGAGTTGTGCCAACAGGGCCCACCACCAGGTACCTGTGTACGAGATGGGAATCGGGGATTGAGAGGAAAATGATCGGGCTTCCGGACTAAATATTCGACGATGACTCTTAACGGCAACTCGGATCACGACTAGCGTGGAAAACGTAGTTCCCGTCTTGAACACCATCTTCCCCTCCTTGTTATTTACAGCGAGTGTATCAGATATTATGGTGTGACCAGAGAAGGAGCTACATAATCTCCACAATCAATTCATGTGGTACACGCGACTTCGATAGACGCCAGGTGCCATATGGTGCACCCGTGGCTAGTAATAGCACACCAGTAGGGGGAGGGGGAATCGGGCTGGACGATGTGTAGGTCTTATTCGAAACACAACGAACCAGACATGCCATGATAGGTCTTACCCAACGACCGGACAAGTATTTCACGGCTTGGCGCATCTGGTCTTTTCGAGAACTATAATGGGACAACGCAGGACAGGTAAATCCAGCTGCGGTGATGCAACGGTCGGTGTTCAGACTCCATAAAATCTCTGGACTGGAGTAAGAGCAGGTGCATGAGGAATAACTAGCTCCGACACCAGACCAGCAGCACAGATTGACTGAATGAGTTACGACACACTCTGCGGCGCTGCTTGACGGAGAGAATAGCTTGTGGGACGAAGATAAATTCGTTCTTTCAAATGCCTCTTCTATCATCGACCTCCATATGGGCACCGATGACATGGCAAGTGATATCCAGCCCTTTTAGTCTACGTTCCAGTGGTCGATTCGCGATCACAACGGTTTAATTTGGTCAAAACTAAAACTGCGTTTATTTGCGGCATGTACTTAAGAACAACCAAACCTGGCGCGCACGGGCCCAGCGGACTTTGTTCCGACAATACATAAGCCTGCTAATCAATCCAGGCCTCACTCTGCAGCTCAATTACGGCGGTGGGCTACCTGCATGACTCTATCCTCGCCGACTATTGCTATTAGAACGTTTATTCAACTAAACTCGGCAACCCGATTACGTGACACGCCCGAGGTTATCAACATATCGGGGGTCGCTCACTCGTGAATGAGTACAACAGGCCGACCGCCGGACGCCTCTTTTAATTCCAAGAAAGAAATGAAGTTACACCAAGACTGTAACGGGCCACACCCTTGCGTAACTTAACGCAAGGGTTTTGGGTGCCCCGACGAACGTACACGTGGCAAGCGAGGAAGCGTAGGTAGGGTAAAAGTAGAACTGTTATATTAATATAATTAAGTCTTTAAACTACTGTCTCTTCGTTTGACTTAGTTTAACTATACTAATATAACTGGATGTATGGTGACGTCTCGTCACCACTCATTGCGCGCGTCTTGCGGCGATTGGTGGGTTGATATCATCACGATATCAACCAATGAACAGACCCTTTGGTCGACCCTTCAATATCACCACTTTGGTGATATTGTTTAAAGAATATCCATCTTTATATTCTTTATCGTCACTTTCCTTAAAGTGAAAATGTCATGTAACGGGCTGCCCCGTTACAAAGACGACAATGGCGTGCACTGGAGATGCCCAGTCTCATCCCAGATTTCGCCGTTGAACTTCCAGGGGAATGGCAGGCACTCCGACAAGAACTGCGGATACACGACCTCGTTTATAGGCGCACTAACTGCTACGTACTTTCCCCTGGGCATTTTCTGACAGTACGCCGAATCGGTCATACAGGTGGCGCTAAAACAGCAAGATTTCTGCTTTCACAAAAAAAGCGTTGGCCCGTCCTCTGAGAAATGTCTTGGACCGACTGGAGGCACGGCCGGGGCGGAGCGACTGGCAACGTGCGGTCATGGATCGAACCCCGCAGCAAGTATGGGACCATAGACAGGGCCTAACGGCGTATAAGGTCTACTCGGGGTATCGAATTGCGACGCGGCAACTCATATTTTACCACACAAGGCGCCACGAGAACAACACGAATTGCAAGAAACCGGGCTGTCGAGGATGTCTGGAGACATTGGCACACTTCTTCTGGGACTGTTCCTACGCCTTTGCGTAATGGAAAAAAATGGTCAGGTATTGGAAGGGGAGCGGGTGTCTATACGGCAAAACCAACCCTATTAACGCGTGTGGCAGTAAACGAGTCGTAAGCTTCTCCGCGCATCGGAAGGCAACACTCGCGGATTGGATTCAGGAGATGTGGAATCAAATCTGGCACATTCTTGCGACAATATGTCAAACCCAGCTGTGGAATGATCGGAATGCCGATGTATATCAGGAAGCCACAAAGGACATCACATTCACCACGACAAGTTTTTGAGCTACATGCATGTGTCAACTACGCGCTATCGCCTTACGTGAGCAACAAAAGATACATTCGGCTGTTCGAGGTGCATTGCTACATGCATCGATTTAATTGAGTACGAACCGAGAGGGTCACTAGGTATTCCTGGGAATATCCCTAGTCATTCCTTGGATCACTCGGCGCTGACATATTGGCTCAGGCTATGTCAGAGATCTTGCCCATAGTTTATATCGTGTAAATAGACCATCCGAACGAACAAACAATCTCACATAATAAAGTCCAGATATTTTCAGCACATTAATATCCAAAGAGAGAGAGGCAGACTAGGCTATTATTCCATAATACATAGTAGCCAATATGTCTGGTATATCCTTAGCCTGGCTAGCAACGTTGGCTCTTCGTTCGAGTCCAGTGGTTGTATGAGGATGAGCACCCGAGGTGCTGGCTTTCGGAGTGGTTGTTCGATATCGCTCTGGAATACTAGCAAGACTGCACCTTGACTTTTCGTTTCGAAGCGTCGATGCTCTCGCTTGGCAACAGCGCGAAGTTGCCGCAGACCCGTTCCCCAGAATCTTTGGACGCTGCCGGCGATCGTAGAGCGTTTCTGTAAGAGCACAACCCTGTTTCGTTGGATCCATAAATTGGTAAGGCAACTACTTCTTAGAATACGCCTCAACCTCTTCTTTATAGCGCCGTAGTCCGTAGAGTCGTTGGGATGGTCCCGGCGAAGATGGTATATAATAACACGTGATAGTTACGGCGCCCCTCGGCTGGCGCTATGCGCAAGAATTTCGTGCACATCGGTGCAGGATACACCTTTGACTGGTCCAATGGCAACAAAGCCTTTGCCAGCAGGCTTGAACACACGGACAGGATCAGAAGATGCGCGTTAATGATTCCTCCACTCCGTAGCACAACAAGTTAACATTCAGCTTTATTTGCCACTTCTCGAAAATCGCGTGTCGCATCTTGACAAGTTGTTACCTTGCAAAAGAAATCGCCCTCGGGCGTTTTTGACACTGTTCTAGAATTTTGTACGAGCTCACAACGACGTATCCCACACCTGTTCGTTTTCCTTACACCAGAAACCACCCCCCGTGCGTCCAATATCGTCGAAAAGCTCCTTGATCTTTCGTACCAAAATAGCATCAATCTCACCCTTTGCGCGCACTTTCAAAACCTTTTCAAATATACCATAAACGAAGCACCCCCCGACTTTATTGTGAAGTAAGCCCAACAAACCAACACACGACGCACCTCGCAATGCCGCAGCGAGTGAGCGCCGTGACGCTGTTGCTGGACGACGAGGCGCACGAGGTGCTGCTCTGTCCCCAGACGCCCGTGGCGGAGCTCCTGCAGTGCATCACGTCGGGCTTCTCGTCGCTCAGCCGCGACCGGTCGAAGACGCCCGTCGCTCTGCAGCACGTTTCCAGTCGCGTGTTTTATCCGCTGTCGCTGCTCTGTCGCTGTCCCGAACTCTTTGAGATCGACGCGTACCGCGTAGTGACTCGAGAGGCAGCACAGACTCGCAGCAGTCGTAACGTGCCGGGACGAAGGCGCGAGGCGCAGGCGGTTACGAAGACCCACGAACGACGCGCCGCGGCCGCCGCTGCGACTACTTTTGGTGCTGCTACTTCGGACCCTGAGCAGGCGATTGATTTTTCGGACTTCGAACTGTCGCAGCTCGTGAATGTGTTTACGCAATTTTGTCCTACGGGCGCATTGGATCGACGGGCGTTTGAGCGGTGCCTGGAAAAGATCTTGGCGCAGTCGGGACGGTACGATCCCCAGGCACGTGCTATGTTTACGCGACTTTTCCGTCTCTTTGCGACGTCGGAGAGTTCACCGGACGATGCAGTGGTCGACGTGGTCGATTTGTTGGGTGCTGCGTCGGTTTTCGCGTCCGGAGAGCGCGACGAGAAGATCCAATTGACGTTTGAGCTCTACGACATGGACAAGGACGGGTTTCTGTCGAAGGAAGAGATGACTAGGTACTTGACGGCTGTTTTTCGGGTCATAAGTCTCGCGTCGCCAGAGCTTTTACAACAGAACAAGTACGTGGTTGGCAGTGATACAAGCGTACTAGCTACTGTGCGTGAGAGTACTAATTGTGATGCTCGATGTGTGTGTGCGTGTGTTTGTGTTGTTGTTCTCTTGCTGCGTAGTAGTATGGATCCAGCGGACATGGCCATTGTGACGGCGAATCAGTGCTTTGCCGAGTCAACACTGAATCACGAGGGTAGACTATCGTTTGAGGCGTTCCGAGCATGGTACTTGAAGCCTGGGCCTACACAGCTTGTTGCTGCTAGGTGCAGCAACAGCGGATCGAACAAGAAGTGCGTGAATGGCATCCAGCTGTTGAAGGGTCTTGACCACGTCACACTTGGCGAGATCACAGGTCTGTCGGCGCTGAGTGCATCCGACGTTTTCTCAATCTTTGGTGCGGCGTCGACTCAGTCCAAGCATTGTTCGAAAAAAGTGCTTGCTCGTACCAATTTCAAGCAAACCATTTTTACCGTTCTAGAAAGCATGGGCCGGAAAGCCACCCGTGAGGTCGACAAGTTTCTGGATCGGCTTTACGACGCGTTTGATGAAGACGGAAGCGATTCTGTAGATTACGTGGAGCTAAGTAGTGGACTTTCGGTGCTTTGCGGCGGCTTGACCGAAGACAAGGTGATGGCTGCGTTTGTGCTTGTTGACACCGACGGTGACGGATGCATCACGCAGCCGGAAATGGAAGCGTATTTGACATCCGTCTTTCGAGTCATGTACGAGGCCTCGACAGCGATGACGCAAGCGGTTGGGATTGACGCAAAAACGCTCGCGCGCTTGACAACAATGCAAGCATTTGACGAAATGGACATGGATCGTGATGGAAAGCTGTCATTGAAAGAACTCCGTTCTTGGTACGGGGCGGCTGGTCGGCCTTGCCAACCGCATCTGACTAGCTCGCCAGCAGATTCTCAGCAGCAGCCTGTGGTGCATGACACCCACGCGGTTGGAACAGCTAGTTTCGTTGCCTCTCTTACAGGTTTGTGCGACCGGGCTCCCAGCGACGTGTTTGAAGTGATTGCTGCGAAGGTGAACGAAGATGGCGTCTTGTCGCGCGAGTCGTTCTTTTCTATTGTTGATGAGCTTGTTGAGGATCATGCGGCACGGGTCAAGCGCAAGCCGAGTGTTGGGGAAAGGGACCAACTGCAGCGAATTATTGAGAACGTCTTCGACGGGTTTGATACCGATCACGACGGTTTTGTCGACTTTTGCGAATTGTCGAGTGGCATTTCGGTATTGTGCAGTGGGTCGCAGGAAGAGAAAATTAAGGCTGCGTTCACTTTGTTTGATGTCAATCATGACGGATGCATATCACGCGATGAAATGGAAACATATCTGGCGTCGGTGTATCGGATAGTATTTATGATGTCACCTACCATATCGCAGCAGCTTCATGTCATTTCTCCAGAAGAGCTTGCACGAATCACTACGGCAGATGCATTCACATTTGCTGATGCGAATGAAGACGACAGCCTGAGCTTTGACGAATTCACGAAATGGTATAGCACTCAAAGCGGGTCTCTGATATCGATGCACCCGCACCAAGAAGCAACGCTTCTAGCCGTTGGCGACATTGTGCCGCCTCCTCAAGCTTCTCTAGTGCGTTCAAGAGGGGGGCTCAACGAAATGAAGGAACTTACAAACCTTGGCAAGTACGACGGAAAAGACGTTTTTGAGCTCTTCCAAGCTTCTGCTGATGCAGAAGGTAACATATCGCAGCCAGTTTATTTCCGTTGCTTTAACAAACTGCTAGCAAGTGACAAGCAAGTGAGTCGAGATGCACAAGTTAAGACACAGCAGCTACTCGAAGAACTCTTTGAGCTCTTCGACGTCGATAAGAATGGAGTTGTCGACGTTCAGGAGCTGGGTGCTGGACTGTCGATTCTTTGTGGTGGAAATCGAGCAGAAAAAACCAAAGCCATGTTCACGCTGTACGATGTCAACCACGACGGCTACGTATCCCCCGATGAAATGACATCGTACTTGACATCGATCTTTAAGATCATGTATAAAGCATCCCCAGAGCTCGAAACGAAAACAGGAATGATGCCGGATCAGCTCGCAAGTGTGACTACAAGGGAATGCTTTGGGGCTTTCGACCACAATCGTGATGGGCGATTGAGTCTCGACGAGTTCAGCGCATGGTTTGAACAGCAAAACCTGCACGTTCAAAACCAGCACGTACGTTTTCCGAACGGCAGCAGCAACGCACTCCTGGTTCGACCTGCTCAGTCGTCAATGTTGGACTTAAGCAATGGGCTTACAGCTAGTATAGTTCCACTTGAGTTTGCAAAGAAGCTGTCCGGTCTAGGAGACGTGTCTTTGGACGATGTGTCTACGATTTTCGCCTCGGCAATTGATGGCGGTAAACGAGTCTCGCGACGTATCTTTGACGAGTGTTTTTATGAACGCATATGCAAAAAGCACGTGCCGATGCTATCCGCAGGTGATCATACTCAATTGCATGGAGTGATGGATCGAATCTTTTCTTCGTTTGACATCGAGCGAAAAGGGGTTGTTGACTTCATCGAGCTAATGGGTGGGCTGTCCATTCTCTGTGGTGCTTCTTCTCGGGATGAAAACGTTTTGGCCGCGCTTAAACTCTATGACGTGAGTGGAGACGGCGTGGTATCCATAGATGAAATGACCCATTACCTCGGGTCAGTATTCAAGTTGCTCTATGGCCTTGACCCTGCTTGCCGCCAGCTGCTTGTCTCTTCAACTGATGCTTTGGCAGCAGCGACAGCAGGCCACACTTTTGGAGCTGCAGGAGTGGACCACGATGGAAGACTTAGCTTGGGCGAGTTCCAGAAGTGGTATGCCAAACTCGAACAGGTATCTTTTACCAACATCGTGGCTCCTCTTGATTTGCAGGAAGTGCGACAGTTGACAAATTTGGGAAACCTAGACGTCGGTGAGGTATTTGAACGTCTTGCGGAACATGCAAACAACGATGGTATGCTTACTCGTACAGACTTCGACAATTGCTTTTCTGAAGTCATTGAGATGGCTCACCTGCAGACACAGATAGAGAAGGTGCGCGCAAAGATGGTAGCAGATCGTCTGTATGACGTATTTGAATGCGAAGAGAATGGACAAGTCGACTTTAGCGAGCTGGCTAGTGGTCTTTCTGTTCTTTGCAAAGGAGCGCGGGATGCTAGGGTCAAGGCTGCGTTTCGCTTGTATGATTTTAACGCCGATGGGTTTATATCGAAAGAGGACACAAAGCGGTTTTTCACGTCAATTTTCAAGGTGATGTACGAAGTGCAAACTGAAATGCGGCAGGAAACTGGCATGTCGGCTGAGCAACTTGGTGCTGTGACGGCAGAACAGGCGTTTTTGGAAGCAGACATGGACCGTGACGGCAAACTTAGTTACGATGAGTTTTTGACTTGGTATAACTCTCCGGCACAAGCTAGAATCGGTAGCGCCGTGTCTAATGATGCTGTCGTGAACCCGTTACTACGCTGGATACCACTAGATGAAGTGAGGCGGCTTACAAATTTCGCTCAGTACAAGCCCGACGAGGTATTTGAGATTTTTGCAGAAGAAGCGGATGAAAGCGGCTTGTTGTCGCGGGACGCTTTTAACAAAAGCTTTTGTAAGGTGTCTAATGGATGCTCATCTAAGGCGGAGGGGGTGTCTGATCTTGAAAACCAGAAGAAGTTACACGAGATCATGAATGGTCTCTTCGATCTGTTTGATCATTCTAACAGCGAGGCTGTGGACTTTGGAGAGCTTGCCAGCGGGTTGTCTGTGTTATGTGGCGGTACGAAGGATCAAAAAGTGGAAGCAGCTTTCTGTCTGTTTGACTACAATGGTGATGGATACATATCGCTAGAAGAGATGACGCGGTACCTCACGTCAGTCTTTCGCGTGCTGTTCCAAGTATCGCTAGACGCTCGATCTCTCGGCGTTACTCCTGAAGAGTTGGGAGAAGTTACGGCCCAGCAGGCCTTCGCAGAAGCTGATCGAGATCACGACGGACAGTTGACACTGAAGGAGTTTAAGAGTTGGTATCAGCAGCCAAGTGGGATCGGCGAAGTTGCAAAAAGTGGAAAACAGTTATTTAGCTTGACCGAAGCTTCGCGACAAACGAACCCGCAAGACGTGTTGCCGGTGGAAGTGTCTGGATCCGTCGCTGCCTACGTTGACGAGCAGGGCTACGTATCACGAGAGGCATTTGGTGAGTGGTTCCGAATTACTGTGTCAACGAGCCAAGATATAAAGTCAGAAGAGCACCAACACATTGATCTCATTCTGGGCCGCCTATTCGAGCTCTTTGATGTCGACAAGAACGGTATAGTGAACTTCAGCGAGATCTCGAGCGGGCTATCAGTGTTGTATGGCTGGCCATCCGAGGAAAAGACCCGTGCTGCATTCGCTTTGGTTGACTATAACGCTGATGGATACATCTCGATGGAGGAAATGACGAGGTATCTTGCCTCTGTCTTTCGGGTGTTGAAAGAGGCTTCTCCTGCTGTGTTGGATCACTTTGATTGCGAGTCCCCGGAGGAGCTAGGCGTGCGTACCGCGCGGCAGGCGTTTATAGAAGCTGACTTGGATCTTGACGGCCGTTTGAGTTTTCCTGAGTTCCGTAAGTGGTATACTTACTCTAACGCTGCGACTGTGGATCGTCTGATTCAGAATAATGTCCCCAGTCGGCTGTTGCTGTGTGAGGTACGACACCTGACAAGATCGGGTTTGCTATCAAAGGAGCACCTGCTGGGTACGTTTGCCAAGTTTGTACCTGCAGAAGGCGCCATTGATTGCGAAACAGTTATACAGGCGTTCAATCACTTCCGAATCGGGCGCGAGACAGATGACTCGGTAGGTAGGCTGCGATTTCTGGTTGAGCGAATTTTTGCTCAATTTGACAGAGACAATGATGGGCTGGTGGACGCTAGGGAATTGGCTAGTGGACTGTCAGCACTTTTCGGCGAAAGTTGGACGGAAAAGATCCGCGCTGGTTTTGACTTGTATGACATGAATTATGACGGGCGTATATCGCTTGGTGAGATGCGTTTCTGTCTCACATTGGTTTTCAAAGTGCTTTTTGAGCTAAAGGCGGATAATGAGACACAAATGGACGTGACACCTGAGGAACTGGGTGAAATCACAGCAGAGCAGGTTTTTGCTGAAGCAGACCTGGACAAGGATGGTAGTCTTGCTTTCATCGAATTCAGCCAGTGGTGCTTGCACACGAAAACAGCGGAAAACATGACTGTAAATGCTGCATTCGACGACCAAGAAGAGCAGCAGCGAATTCGAAATGTCCAGCACAACCGGGTCAATGACTGGGTAAACCTGGACGTAGTGAAGCAGATGACGAATCTGGAAAAGTTTACGGCTGACGAGGTGTTTGAGATTCTTGCAAATCGTTGTTCTGATGATGGGACGCTTTCGCGAGAGGTTTTCGAGGAGTGTTTCGAGCAGCTAGTGGACGAGCAGTACAAGAATGATGAGACGAACTTAGCACGCTTGCGACTTATCCTCAATCGGTTATTTATCATATTCGACGAAGGCAACAACGGCACAGTCAATGTCTGCGAGCTGGGTAGTGGCCTGTCAGTTCTTTGTCGTGGCTCGCGGGAGGAAAAGGTGCGAGCTGCATTTTCACTTCTAGGTCTTGACCAAGACGGGTTCGTTTTGCTGGACGAAGTGGTACGTTACCTGGCGAGTGTCTTCAAGGTGCTGTACGAGACCAACCCCGGGACGTACGGAAAGCTTGGGTATCAGCCAGGGGAGCTGGCCACAATCACTGCTAAACAGTGCTTCTTGATAGCGGATCTTGACGAAACCGGAAGAATGGAGTTTGACAATTTTGTGGCTTGGTACAACACAATGCTTGGATTTGAAGCACCTATGGCAGACGTGGGTAGGAGCTTTCTTGTCCAACAACTAGACAAACAACAAGGGGCGAACGGTGACACGAGCGAGAGTCAGGATGATGATGGCTTGCGTACACGCCAGCATGGTATAAGTGATAGCCGTCACACTGGGCCACCCTCCGAGTCACTAGGAGGAACTGTGTCGAGTGCTGGTGGTAAAGAGTGTGGCTCGAGCAGTATCAGCGCTGCACCTGCCAGCTTCCTGTCCGATAAGATTTGCGGCATGAGAGGGCTAAACGGCAATGCGCTCCTATCCCCAAAGTCATCGTCTACGTTGAGCATGAACAGCTCTAACATGGAGCATGTCCGACACCTTTTGAAGCTGGACACGTATGAGGTGAATGACGTGCTCGAAATATTTGCTGAAGCTTCACCATCCGGTGAGTTGACGTTTGAAGCATTCAAGAAGTGCTTCGACCAGATCATTCGGCTGGCGGGAGGGCACGAGGCACCAGAAGAACGCCACGAAGCCGATGCAATGGTTCGTCGACTCTTTCGCGTGTTTGATTCCGATAACAAGAACACAGTCGATTTTGGTGTGCTCGCCAGCGGTCTCTCGGTGTTGTCAGGATCCAGCATGGATGAAAAGCTTCGAGCAGCGTTCCAGCTGCACGACATCAGTGGAAACGGGTACATCACCCAGCAAGAAATGGTAAACTACATGACGTCGATCTTCAAAGTAATGTATGAGACAACTGATAGCGCGAAGACCAAGATGGGCGTGTCACCTGAAGAACTTGCCCGTGCAACCGCCGAGCAGTGCTTCGGGCAGGCGGAAATAAGCGGAGACAAGAAGCTCAGTTTTGAAGAGTTTAAGAAGGTATGAGAGCGGCGAAATGGTGTTGTCGGGTATTATTTGCTGGTGCTGGTGGTAGCTAATGCTGACTGTGTTTGCGCATGCCCACTGTAGTGGTGCATTTCAGGTCAATGAAGTGGCCAATCCGTACCAGAAGCAGCACTGCAGCTTGTGAACGATAACGAAATGTATTATGCTTGGCAACCTATAAGCCCTCTACAGGAAAACCTGAATTTCGTCATCTTGCAAAACGACATCGCCAATGTCGACGTCGATGTTTATGTCGCAGGCGAGTTTGTCGATCCCGATCCCTCCCTCTTCTGCCAGGAGGTCCGTTAGTGCATCAAGCAGAGTTTCACTGATGTTGGCTGCGATTGCACAAAAGATGTTGTTGGACTTGCGGTGTTTCGAGACAGTCTGGGCAAATGCGAATACTACAGTACCATGAACATCACGCAGACGGCCGAGTATCTGCTTCTGCTCGAGTCCCACACGGTCAGTAAAGTCCTGAACAGCGGCTGCTCTGGTGAGGAACTCGTCTTCCTTGTCATCGTCCTAGAGCCAGCCGTATACGAGCGCGATCCATGAAACCACGTGACAGGCACATAGCAAACGAGTACAGCACATACCACGATGCACAGAAGGTTCATCGCGAGGTCCTCTTCAGTTTGGCTAGATGTTCGAAGAAATCATGCACACAGTTAGGAAAGTATGACCGTGCGATATGCAGTATGAAGAAACGCTTACTCCTCGCTGGGAGATAGCGGAACCTCAGCACTTGACTGTTTGCTCTTCGTTGCGTCAGCGAGGACTGCCGAGGACGTTTCCTCTAAATTTGGTAAGAGCGCAACTGAATCGTTTTGACAGTCGTCAGAAGATCTCCTGTTGCAACAAAAGTACAGCAATACGTCATGAGAATCGTCGCGAACGTGCGCGTCAGTGCATACAACAAAGTCGTACCCTGACCCGGCCACTTTGGTATCCCCAAGCGGCTGCGCTGCTACAACTTACACAACTTCACATCAGACGTGACAAAGGTAACCCGGTCTAGTGATCGAGAGCATACCAGTTCGAGACAAGCCTTTGCTTTTTTTGAGCGCTGGATCCGTTTTCGATGGAGGCAGCAGCAGTCGCCGCTTTTTCGGCATGGCGTCGTCGTCTGCCTTCACGTGTATTCCACCCTTTCCACCCATTCGAAGAGCAAAAGGAATGCTGCTGCTGCTCCGACCACTATCGTTTCGCCCGACGTTCTCAGCAGGGCTAAGCAGCCGCAAGCGTTTCCCTCTGTCCTTGTCAAATGCCGTGCCTTTCAACCTGAAGCCAGCGCTGCTGCTTCCAACGCGGCAACTTGTACCAACAAGACCGTCCGCTTCGTCGTCATCGGCAACTGCCTCTGTCGCTTTTCTCTTCTTGGCGGCAGAGGATTTAGTGTCGGCTCGAAACGTGAATGGCAGCCCCCCTGTCGCTTGCAGCTTGAACAGTGGCGCGGTGTCAGCTTCAGTCGCCCGGCGCACGGGTTTGTTGGCAACGCTCTTGGTAGAGACTTTGGTCAGCAGCAGCTTCCGTGTGCTCGACACTGCTGGTGCTGCTGGCGCTTCGTTCACAAGCGAACGGCTCGTCAATGGGCCCACATCCTTCGACTTGGACGGAAGTTTCAAGAAGCTGAAGCCCGCGCTCTTTCGTGACGAGCGGTCGACCGCCAGCGGCTGGAGGAACCTGCCCGACCTGTGCGCACTGGACACTGCGCTCGCTGCAAGTGCAGACACAGCGTCAAGACAGAGCCAAACGAACTACAACAGGAGCACCACACGACTTCTTTTCGTACTCTGCTTCTCGGCCGATGCGCTCGCTCCAGTGGTCTTGAGGAAGGAGAACGCGGCCTTTAGTTTCGCCTCAGTAGTCGGTGCTTTGATCCCTGGGCAGCACACAGCCGCAGTCGTCGCGTCTACTGCTTTAGTCACGCACTCACTTGATCGCTCACGTGGAAAAGAGTCTCGACAGTTGCGCACGTACTTGTGAACGGCGGCAGCGTCTGCAGCTTGAACTTACCCGTGAACGGGGCTACGCTTTGCTTGCCCGTCGTCGCAGCTGCAGCAGCAGCAGCGCCTCTGGGCCGGAACGCACTGCCGAGACGGTCCATGTTCGCCGTCTCCTTCGTCTCGACGTCGCTGTGTTTGGTGCGGAACATTACTGTGGGGAACGGAAGAGAAACGTTGCCGTGGCAAAAGGGAAACTTCAACGTTGCCGTGCGAGAGTGATGGTCAGGGAAACCGCGCGCCCGCTTGCGCGCGCTGGCGTCGATAGTGACCAATGAGCGCGAGCTCTGCCTGTGCACCCAACAGCTCATCGACCTGCCGCAAGTTGCGCGACCGCACGTTGGCACGAAAGTCCCTGGGGCTGAGCGACGCCAGTGAGCGGTGACGCACGAGCAGCGCGCACAAGCGCTGGAGCGTCAAATGACCCGACGCCTCTCTGCACTGCTGCAACAGCGAGAGCAGGAGGTGGTCCCACACGAACGCAGCGAACGCGTCACTGCGGCAGTGTTCGAGCATCCAGCAGACGTCGCCGGGATCGGGCGCCTGTGCTGCTCCGGGACCCGTCCTGGCGTCGTCCTGGTCCAGTGTCGGGTCCCGTGGCTGCAGGCTCTGGTATACAGTGAGCCAGTCGCTCTTCGTCAGGGCGGCCCACTGCCTCACGTCGTCCGGCGCGGCTTGTCGCGGGTCAAAGAAGTGCGTTCGCGCACTCACTCGCGTTCGGTCGAGCGCTGTCGCTGGTAGCGCTGCAGCTGTCGCGTCTGTGCTGTCCCTTAGCAGCGGCAGCAGAGACGAGCGGTCGACAAAGTGGTCGAACGACACGTCCACTGGAGGCAAAAGACTCGCGATCGGTAGCGCTGGACGTGGCAGGTCAAACGCCTGCGCCACGCGAGTGCCGTTGGGCCGACGAGAGGACGGCGTCGGACCGCGTTGCCGCACGAAACAGAGCTGGAGGATGTGGTCGGGGGCGAGTCCTTCCTGGTACAGGTTGAAGACGCTGGTGGCGGCACTGGAGGCAGACGCCGTCGCGTCGGCGTCGTCCGCGTTCATGCTCGACGAGACAGGACGTGCTCAGGTCGCGCCACCACTCGTCACCCGCCCGATACAGTGACGCTGTCTGATTGGCGCGTGCAATTATGACCTGATCCCTACCGCACACTCAGTCGGTCAGTCCAACGCAGCGCGTGCGTCTCCACCACTACCGCCGCCGTCTCGGGCCACTCCGCCCACAATCATTCGGCTTATCTCTCCATCAGCACTCGCTAGCCAGAAGTCATTATGGCACCTCCGCCTGCGCCCAGCGAGTCCGACTACGCGTCGATGGACGACTACGTTGCCGCCCTCAACGCGCAGCTAGTGGACAAGTCAGCACAAGAGGTCGTCCAGTGGACGTTTGCCACGTTCGGTGCGCGCACGGTCCTGACTTCGAGCTTCGGCATTCAGTCGGCCGTCATGCTGCACCTCGTTCGCAGCGTCAGCAAGAGCATTCCTGTCGCCTGGGTGGACACGGGCTATTTACCGAGAGAAACGTACCAGTACGCTGCCCAACTGACCAAACTACTGGATCTGGACGTGCGTGTGTACCAGTCGTCGATCTCACCCGCGCGCATGGAAGCGATCTACGGCAGATTGTACGAGCTCGAGACGCCCGAGGCACATCGTCACTATGGCTATATGCGCAAGGTCGAGCCCATGCAGCGCGCCCTACAAGAACTTGACGCTGCTGTGCTGCTCGTAGGCATCCGCGCCGACCAGACACAGCACCGCCAGCACATGAAACGCGTGAATGTGCACGAAGGCCGTCTCAAGATTTGCCCGATCCTTTATTGGGACAAGAAGGATGTCGAGCAGTACATGGCAATCAATCAGTTGGAGCCCCATCCGCTGAAGGCACAGGGGTACGAGAGTGTAGGTGATGCTCATTCCAGTCGCCCCGTAACGGCAGCGGACAAGGGCAACGACCGAGCAGGCAGATTCAATGGCAAGCGACAGGAGTGCGGTCTGCACTTGGACATGCACGACACGAAGCTGGAGGACTTAGAGCTCGACGACTTGTTTCTCCTCTCAACGCGCGACAACGAGATTCGAGCACTTACAAGACGCACCAAAGGGATAACTGTGTTCACGACGCCCACGTGCAAGTTCTGCCTGGCCGCCAAGAAAATCATGCGGGAGCGAGAGTGGAAATTCGATGAAGTGAGCATTCCGAGCGAAGTCTCTGTCCAGTCCCTACAGCAAATTGTTGGCATTCCCGTCAAGACTGTGCCCCAGATCTTTGTGGATGGCATCTACATCGGTGGCTACACGGAGCTGGTGGCACACCTTGGTATCCTATCGCGCAGCGTCCATATGCAAGACGCAAATGTCGCAACAGAATGAAAGTAGCTGGCATCGACGTTGCTGTGCAGCTGGAAAGCAGGTACAGGACTCGCTGCTACCAGATGGCAACAACGCAGTGGCGCTCTCCATGTCTCCGTGTCAAGATTTTGCAGCTTTCGCCGTGGGCAAGCTGCTGACGTGGTATTTCAGCTGCCATTGCACTTCTGCACTGCTGGACATTGTGTGGTCTCACAGCTGGATGGCTGAGGATAAGTGAGCAAGCGAGCAGACATGGCAATCTTTACGGCGCTCGTTTCTACGAACGCGTGATTGCCCATTCAGTCGCAAGTAACTGGAGGATCGTTTTGTCCAGCGCCCGGCCAAGTTGTGGCATCACTATCGCTTTTTCGGTCGAACCTAAACTGGACAGCGCCTCCGCTAGCCCCCGCCAACGAGATCGGAACACCGCTGTGTCTTGTCTTCTTTCGGATCCTTTGCTGGAAACAGTCTGTACAAGTATCCGGTCCGTCAAAACGGAAGCGGTGCGCAAGAACAAGCCAACTGCTATGACAGATGATGTCGACGGAGACCTCTAGGCTGAATCCATCCACTACCCGAGCGCTGTCGCCGATGTAGTGGCACTGATATGGAGGTGCTTGACAAGGTATGCATTCTTTTGCCGGTTTCGACAAGCCAACGAACTCTTCTGCGAACAGACTCGAAGACCACGTTATGCTACAAAAGCACCATCTCGCATAGGACTACGCTGTCGGACGACCTCCGCGCTGCCAGCTGGAGTCGTAGGACGATAGGGTCTTTTTCTTCTTGCTTTGTCGGACGCTATCTGCAGCTGCAGGACACACAAAACCCCGTCGAGAACGCATGTTGCTGAGCTACCGTCCTCATCAGTCGGACGCTCGCCCCAACTGGGCGATAGTGATTGCCGTTCGTGGCAAGTGCAGGAAAAGCGATGACGAACGCCGATGGTACCACAACGCTGTCGTGACGTAAACGGGAGATCGCTGTCTTTTGCACACGCTTCGTATGGCACAAACCTACACATACTCGCCATACTTACATACAGGCTGTCGATGACTTTTTCGTTCAACTTGAAGACCACGTCCTGCTGGCCAGGACGCAAAGCCGCAGGCATCGTCGGATGGTCGGGTGACGTGTGGACCTCGTGAGCCCAGCAATCAGTACAAGAGCCTTCTGTACTCGCACGTTGAGGTGCCACGGTATAGAGCACGTACGGATACGAGGAGCGTTGTATTAACTACTACAAGATCGATGATATTCAAGCAACTGGCGCACTCGCGACCACGAGCCGCTACCGCCGTATGTGGTCAACATTCAACTTCGGCTTAGCGAAGTTTCCTGCTAGATGGTGTACGTCTACACGGATTGTCTGTCCAGATACGTGGGCCAGCAGCAAAGGCAGAGCTCACATCCGGTGACTAGGGATGCAACTTGTGGCCAACATTGCGTCTTGTAAGTTGCTATCGCTACGTGCCTTCGAGCGAAACAATCGGTAGCACAAACCGTTTGGGGATTGGCGAAAGCTATGGGCGTGTGCTGGACATCCTTCTGCTTCTCGTCACCTCGTGCACCCCATCGCTCGGCATCGTTCTTTCGTTGAAGTGCATCAGTGTGAGCTGGGCGCCATGCTCGGCTTTGACTGTCACGTAGCCGCAGAGCGCCCACGTTGTTGCGGTGCGCACGAAGGCGAAAGTTATGGAAAGGCCAAGTGTTGCCGTGTCGTCAATATAGAGCGTCACTAGGGGCTCCAGAGTTCATTACTGCGTCGGTGACGACGCACATGACGGCCGAGCACACATCGCGAGACGGAAGTTTACGGCACGTCCCTTGAGTGTAGTCAACCTCTCTGCCCTCTTTGTGGCCGTTTTCGTTCCAGGAGATTCGAAAACGGGCGCTTGCAATTGTGCAAAGTAGCATTCTCACATGGCGTGCGTGCCGTAACAACGTGACTAAATGAGCCTTTGCAATAGTAGTAGTTCTAATAGAAGTAATAGTAGCAGTAGTTACAGTAGGAGTAGCAGCAGTAGTTATGGTAGTAGGAGTAGCAGCAGTAGTTATGGTAGTAGTAGTAGTAGTAGTAGTAGTAGGAGTAGTAGTAGTAGTAGCAGTTGCAGTAATTTAAGTCATTGTAGTAGCAGCTTGTCGCTGTGGTAGTGGTGACGTTAGTAATGCTATTGCTGCTGTTTGTTGTACTGCAACGAGCAAGCCCTACCCACACTATGGTTGTTACCGCATGTCGTCGCCTTGCCACTTTAACGTGCGGCCGAGCGTTGCGCTGCGCCCCATTTCCACCATACAGTAAAACTCGTCCTATCGGCTCGTAAAACACTGTCGTGTCCTAATGCGTCCGGGCGGTCGTGCGGTCGTTTATGCGCGCGACGAACAAAGCGGCGCGCTGAATGTGAATCGAAAGCGACGACTCCGCGACAAAGGAAATAGAGTCCGAGGGAAGCATCTATTGTGCATGTTGCATACTCTCCTTCGGTCTATATTAGGCGTATCACGGACTTTAACCTGTTGTTTACGGACTCAACCGTGAGGTAGAGCGACCGAAACCTCTCGAGTAGCTTGCGACCCAGTCAATGCTATACAAAAGGGCGTGCGCATGTCGCACGGTCTGTCAGCCGTTCGATCGTCGGTCGGCTGTTTACTGCAAACGTTCGACTGGCGCAGCTCCGGTCAGGTGGACCGTAATCGCCTATCGCAGCGAGAAGCGGACATGAAACGCGGTATTCCAAACGGTCGTGTCGCTCGTCGTACACGACCGCGCGCGGCTAGTGGGTCTCCTACAACAACCAGCGACTCGACAAATCGGTCGCCCGCGCACGTGCACGCGACTGCATCGTGCCCCATAACGGCCCTAAGGTGACGGCGCGCGCGCGTCCACTACCTTTTGCATTGCTCGCACTCGTACTTAAGACAGCGTATCAGGGCCCAGAGGCCAGCCATAAGTCGGCCACCTGCTGCGGCGGGGCAAAAAAAGGCCGCAACGGTCGGCCGCGCGCGCCGGTGGCCTCGCCGCAGTGTCGCCTGACGACACCGCGTCCGACGCGATAAATGTCAACACGTCGCGCGGTGCGTCGATCCATCGCCCGTGCGCGCGCGACCGCACGATCGCTGGCGCCAGCCGCGTCGCGCCAACCCCGCGGCAGACGGGGCGCATCCGCCGCCGCCCGCCGGCCGGCGCAGAGGGGTCGACGACACTCGGCTCGGCCAATCAGAAGCGCCGCCATGGCCACGACTGCGCTGATTGGCGGCCGTCATGGCCTCGGCGGCTCCGCATTGGCTAAAAACACGTTCCTTAACCCCTCGACGATCCGCGCCGGCCAAAGTGTGTCCATTCCACAAGTTGAACCTCCCGCGGCACAGCACCAGCGGCAACAACAACCACAACACCCGCGCGCGGCCCACGTGCCCACCTGCTGCTCCTCTCTCTCCTCTCTCTCCCCATCTCATCCCATCCCATCCCACCCCACCCAACGCGTCGGTTGTCGTTCATGGAGCCGCTCCCGCTGGCTGAGGTCGCGCGCCGCGTCCGCGTCAAGCGCGACGTCTTCTTCCGCCGCGTGCTCGTCTCGGACGCCGACGTGCAGCAGCAGATGCTTGCGCGCATCGCCGACGAGCTCCACGAGCTCCTCGCGCGCCACGACGCGACGCTCGTGACGGACTTTTTCCCCACGGCGCTGCGCCTCACGCTCGACGCGCCGTTCGCGGCGATCCGCGAAGCGCTGCGGCCGATCGTCGACGTCGTCGAGCGCACGTACCCCGCGGCGCAGGCGCTGCGCGCGCAGCAGACGCGCGTGTCGTACTTTTTTCCCAACGGCCACGCGCCCGAAGACGAGGGCGACGAGGCGCTCGAGAGCGTCCCGCGCATCGACGACGAAGCGCTGCAGACGCTGTTCCAGCACTCGTTCCTGCGCACGGGCCGCGTGACGCATTTGATGCAGATCTTGGCCTGGCACGGCAGCTACGCGGCGCTGTTCGAGCGCAGCGTTGCAGCGACGATGCTGAGCGACGGGACGCTCCCGCTGCACTGGGGCAGCTACATTGCCGTCATGGGCGCGAGCGAACTGCGGTGCCACTACTTGGCCGACCTGCAGCAGTACAACTTTGTCGTGAACGGCGGCGACAGCGACTGGATCAAGGGCCTCGACTACGTGCCGCCCAAGCTCTTTCGCCTGCACGAGCTGAGCTCGCTGCTCGCGCACCAGCCGTGGCTGCTCACGGCCGAGCACGTGGCCGAGCTCCTGCGCTCGGACCAGGACGACTCGTGGTCGGTCTCGGAGCTCGTGCACGCGATCATTGTGCTCTGCCAAGCGCACTCGATGGCGAGCATTGCGCTCGGTGTCGGCTGTGCCGAGGAAGTGGACCTCGCGGTGTTTGGCCAGTTTGGCCGCGCGCTCGACGCCGAGTCGACGACAGCGGAAGGGGATGTCGACAAGTACGACGGCACGGACGCCAGCAGCTGCAGCAGTGTGGACCTGTCGACGATCGAGCGGGACGACGAGATGCCGCTGAAGCAGCTGAAGAAAAACAGCCACTTGGACAGCGATACGGCGGACGAAGAGGAAGAAGTCGCGGACGAACAGCGCGAGCAGCAGGACGGAGACGACGACGTGGAAGACGAGGACAAGTACGGCGCGGACGATGGGTTCGAAGTGGTGGTGGACGAAGCAGCGTATGGAGGCAGTGTACCGACGGACAGTCGGAGAATCGACACGCTGTGGCGCTTCTGCGGCGGCAGCGTCCTCCGCTACTCGGACTTTGACGTACGGTCGGACGAGTACGAGGTGCTGCACACGGAGGACTTTAGCTGGGACGAACACTGCTTTTCCCTCGTGAAGCGGTATTTCCCAGGCGAAGCAGGCCAGATCCTCGAGGACTTGTTCAATTTGACTAGCAAGCTGACGTACGACTGCTTTGGCGCGAACAAGGACGAGTTTGTGGACACGAGTCCGTACCGGGATGCTGTCTGGTACTACGTGCACCGTATCTTTGGCATTTGCCACGACGACTACGACTACCGCCAGGTGAACACGTACCTGAACCGGCCGACCAAGATTTTTCTCAAGAAAGTGGCTTGCACGCCTTGGAAAGTGCGGGAGGAAGACTTTGCCCACTTTGACCGGATACTCCGCCCGTCAGAGAAGTGCCACGTCATTCTGCTTGTCGCTGAGGCGCGCAAGCAAGCTGGGCTCATGTACGGCCTGCGTGCTGTGATGAACCACATGCGCTGAAGAGGGCTGCACAGCTGGCTGGCCTTGCGTTCTCGCCGCAGCACTCTCGAGCAGTCCATCATTGTGGCCCTTGGTTTTTTCAAGTCATGGAGGCAGGTTTGCTGGCGTCGTGCATGCCGCTTTGTTGATGCGGACCGCATCGTATATCGTATTTTCCAGTCAAGTCTGAAGCAGCGCGATACATACCGATTTCTTTCTCCGACGCCGCCGCAGGTGCGAACCCGAGTCAGGATCAAGCGTTGCAATCAGTTGGTCAGCAAGAGGATTCATGACAAAAAGCTTTCGGAAGCAAAGACCGTAGCAAGGCGATAGAAGCACCAGCTACGGCACTATACCTAATAAATGTAAGTTATCCCCGAACTCGATTGCGCAGCGTGTCGATGGATGTGCCTTCTCCAGCCAAGTTGTCGCTTCCATTGCGAATCGCCGAAGTCATTTACCAAAAGTTTTCGCAGGTATCGATCGATCCGGTCAGCGTCAGCGGTACACTTGTTGCCGGGGCCGCTGGTCAAATTTTCACGGCCATTATTGGTATCCTGTTTGAAACGCGGTCGAGCCCCATCCAACTGCTACGAAGAAGTTGAAGTGCATACGACAACAACACGTGTTTAGCCCTTGATCAACTGGTGCTTGTTGACCAAAACTGATGTGCTCGAAAGCCGCATGACAGACGCCAGTGCTGGAAACGTTGTGGGCGCTAGAGCTTCATACGCGAGAGAATTCGCGAGAGTCTCAGCACCATAGAACAATTCCATTGACCCGTCGACGCGGACAAGACGGTAATCAGAGCACTCCGTGTTCGCGAGTGACTCTGCAGGCGTCCACAGCCTCAGCATTAGTTGACGAGCTTATCGCATTCTGTGAAGCCGTGCGCAAGAAACGCTGTCTTTCGTGAACGAACACAAACGCTGGCGGGGGACAAGTCCTGGACACCAGTTCTCTCAGCACTACCTGATCCCACTGCGTTTGCGTTTACAGTTGGCCGAATGATCGATTCCAAGTCGTGCAGAGTGAAGACGTCGGAAGGTCGCGGTCGCACCGACCCCTTTCAGATAAACTGGACAGCTTTGACTCTCGTGGTAAGTGGTGAAAGGAAGCACACATTTCTTCGCTAGGCGACGACCACACTCCTTGTCGGCTATCATCGACGAACGCTGCCATTCGGACGTTTCTCGTGGTCAAAGTCAAACTCGATACATGATGAGGACGGCTCCATACACTCGCCGTGTTGCCGCCCCACACGACGCGCGGTGAGACTGCCAACAACTTGTATCCGGCTGTGTAGGAAGACGACGATCGACAAGGGTTCGGCCTCGAACGCTACAACGTGCAGCGACGACTCAAACTTTCGCTGCGCATGCTGACACAATCTTCGACCAGGCACCGACGATAAGGCAAAAGACTGAACCACAGTAACGCTTGCAAGTTGTGATAGAAAGCGCAGAGCACGAGCTGCAACACATCGCGCTGGAACCGCGTGTGAAATTCATATTTATCTCAGGACCGGCATCGCGTTACCTAATCGGCCCTCGAATAAGCTGATGTCGTTACCGTGTGCACTCCCCATCGGCAGAGGCCGACGAATTCAATGGGGCACATGAACCAGGACAAGGCGCAGTCGCGATGCCTACTCCCGTTCATGCAACACCAGCGGCACCTTTTTCACAGCGCGTCGCGCTCCATCGCCGACAATTCTTCCACCGTCTCGACCTTCGCGGCCTCACGCTCATCCTGACCAACGCCGTGCACACCTTCTTCCGACGTATCTTCACCGGCCACATTTTCCTCCTCTTCGCCCACTCCCTCGACTTCCTCCTCCTCCTCCTCCTCAATAGTCTCAGGCACATCAGCCAGTTCGTCCAGCAACGCCGCCAAGAGAGGAAAGTCGGCCAGCACGTCTTTCACGTTCTTCCCGACCACGTACTCGTACGCCTTCTCGTCCGACAAAAGGCCCACTTCGTCAGCAGTAGCTTCGAGCAGATCGCCGCGCTGGAAAAAGCGATTGATCGTGTGCAAATCCCGCTTCAAGAGCTTCTCCGTGTCCGGATGTGTGCGGTCAACTGTCTGCCCAAAGTCAATGAGCCAAATGCGCTTCTCGCGCACTGAAAAGAGAATGTTGTACTCGCTCAAGTCGCCATGCACCAAGCGGGCGCGCTGGTACAGACCTCGCGTCGCTTGGAGCACGTCCGCATAGGCCCGAGCCTGCAGCTTGGGCGACAAGTCCGCCAGCACATCCTTCAGCGTGGGCTCGGGCCATCCGTCGGCTCCCACGAACCGCATCACGAGCACATGTTCCTTGCACACGACGGGGGCCGGGGCACGAATGTTGCGCTTCGTCACGCGACACAAGTTGCGGTACTCCTTGTCCGTCCACGCCTTGATCTGTCGCCGCTGGTCTTTGCGCTGGAAGTTCAAATCAAAGCGACGGTCGCCCGTCACGTACTCGTGACGGTTGCTAAACTCGTTCAGCGTCGTGCGGAAGATCTTGACCGCCAGCTGCACGGGCTGCAGCGTCGCTGCGTCCGTCCCCACTGCAAAGTACACGTGGGCCTCTTTCCCGCTCTGCACACAGCCGTGCACCTCGTCCAGCTCGCCCCGGTTGATCATCTTCTGCAGCAGTAGCGTCGTGCGCTCGTCCATGACGCCGTCCGTCGTCGCGTGCGTCTCGGCCGCCACGCGACCGGCGCCAGCGCCCTTTTTCTCGCTCTTCTGCTGCCGGCGCGTGCTCTCCCGCAGCGACGTGAACCCTTTTCCCCTTCCTGCGCCCACGTCTGCGTCCTCCATCGACAGCGAACCTGCGACTTGCGCACGTGCGAGCGCCGCAGCGCCCGTCACCGCAGCGGGTGTGCGCGCCAAGACGTTCACCCGACCTGTGGCGTCCTCTTCAGCGGCCGCAACGACCGCATCGACGGCGCTGCTGTCGGCGCTCCAGAGGGCGCTGTGCCGGTCCGCCTCTTGGCGCTCTTTGCTGCGCTGTAAGGTGGTAAACATGTCGCTCTGGCTCTCTGGATGGAGCTCGCGGTGCCTCGCGTCGACCTCCTGTTCGTGCAGACTCTGCGCCAGCGCTTCGTCGATGAGCGACTGCAGACTGAGCTGCGGGTGGCGGAAGGCCGAGGGCGGCTGAGCCCACGGACATGTGCTCGTCATGTTGCGTTGAGGCGGCGCGAGCAAATTCGACAATGGCAATGGCCGTCGAGGAAGGCGACGTGGAGTAGAAACGTTTCTAAACGCGGACCGCTGCCTCGTGACTACAGCGGCGGCGGCGGCGGCTGTTTATAAAAAGAGTTGTGGGAGGGCTTTTTTCGCGTCGGGGGCAAGGCGGGTGGTGCGACATGTGTCGGCTCGCATTGGATAATTTGTGGCTTCGACTTTCGCCTGCGACTGGTGAATGAATGCATCAATGGAAATGGATTCAATTCGCCGCGACAGGCGCACACGTCTGAAGTAACGCGTAAAAAAGACGTGCTACAGGTACCGACTGCGGCGGTAGCAGACGTATTGCGGTCGCATGCATGACCAGGTTGTGATTTTGCGGAGCGATGACCCTCTGGCGTCACGTGAGACATGCAGTATCAGTCGCTATAGGGCTTGCGCCAAAGTAAGAGCCAGTCCATCTTTCGTCAGGAATTGTAGGCGAGCAAGTCGTCCAACGTCCACGTACTGGCACATTCTGACAGATACTTCACGAAACGGCCACGCTGTGTCGATGTTGACGGGCGGTGGGTGACGGCCACGGCATCAACGACAACGATTGTATCATTCGTGTGCTTGCTCTTTCGTGTAGCGGAGAACTCCTCCTCAGGTCCAGTGAAGATCCGCCGAGCAAACAGCCATGTAATTTTATCCAGAACGGTTTTGCTGCCGTTGCATGTGAATTGCAGCTATCAAGTTCCAGCCACCACCTTCGCAATTTGCACCATATGGTGGTCCTGTCACTAGGATAATGGATGTCCGATGGAGCAGTGGGTTGCAGCATATCATGCGAAGTGGATGCCAGCAAAAGGTGGACCAAGGGCCAACGCTATTGGCAGGTTTCAAGGGACCAACCAACATGTCGGGATAGATGCAGCATCAAATGTTCAGGGGAACGAGTTGCATGCCGCGGCTTGACGAGCCTCAGTTCGCAATGCATTCACCTTCACTTGCGAGTGTTTTCGACAAGTGTTTCTTGGTTCTGACGTTAACATGCGACGGACGGTCGCACTTTCGCCGTTTCATTCTGCACACGAAAAAATTGCGATAGATACAGTATGTAATTACCGTAGAGAATCCTCGGTGCTGGCCCTGGTCTCAACCCTTGACCGCCGCGAAGTGACCTACAACGTCCTGCCTACCAGGTGTGGAAGAAGAACACGAGATTCATCCGCGCACTCGATCAGGAAAATGAGTATAGACTCTACGCGAGAACGCGTGACGTGGCGCACATACGTCTCGTCATGGCATTTGACCTGAACAGACAAGTTAGTAAGATACCTGGGGTGATACAAAGCGAAGATAGTTTGAGGGTGAATATCACAGGTCGCAACTGATGGTAGTAAGCAACTGGATTTGGCCTGCGCGTTCAACGCATGACCACGGATCCTCGGCAGGTGTCTACGAAGATACTTCGCTGCAACTGATGCGACTTCAACCACCACTCCTAAATTTCGAAGCTGGGCACGTATGGTGCAAGTCGAATGGCCTAGCCGCCACGACTGGCCCATTTCGGTCCACGAGGGCTACCTGTGTCACTTTGGTTTCAAGAGACGCCTTACTGTCCGAGACATAGCACAGAGACACCAAAGTAATCTACTCATTTGGTTATATGTACCTGCAGTCTCACGTGAAGACAGCAAGATGCTTTCGTAGTTTGCACGACAAGCTTTTCGTACACCCAAAATTCGAGCTCGTGTGTCAAGATGCCTGGGAGCGTCCTTTTGTGGACTTGCGCTCTGTGCCGAGTCCTTTGAATAAGGGAACGACCGATAGCATGTCCGCGTGATTTTCAGCCTTTGTCGTAAATGAATGTACCGACCTGTAACTTTTGCTGGAAGCATCAGGTACAGACGTGTTCGACAGAGGTATCGTAAAAGCCCCCGAGGCGTCACGATCAAGTTAATCACGATGCTGACCGTCTTGGTTGAGATGTCGCAGTCATGCGTGAGGATTGAAGAGTTTGAGATCATACAGATGGTGCCTCATCCCAACGAAACATCGACATGACGTTATCTTACATCGGCGCCTCGATTTCTTTGCGCCTAGACAGTGCACGTATAGCCATTGCCGCGTAGCATAGTAAACTTTGGACATGGTCGAACATCGATAGTTGGCGCACCTGCACCATCGCGCTGTAGTGTTTTCCAAATAGCTTGTCAGGAAGAAAAGTCCACGTGCGTATTGTCGAATCCGTCGTACAAACCAATGAATGTAGTATGGAAGAAAGCCATGTATATTGAGTTTTTACAATCACCCGTGATTGAGAATACAGGGCTTGCCTTGCGCGGAACGGCGTGAACAAGACATCGTTGACGTTAGGAGTCTTGATTCGGCAACATAAATGCCTACGCTTACAGCTGCAAAAAACTGCTACGCATGCAATGACGATTCTTTACTGTAACCCGAAGGTTACGTACCACAATGGCTGAATGCTCGACGCAATACAGAACTTGAATAAACAGCTAGTCAGTTTGCACTCGCGCTTGACCGTGCATCTGGACCCTTCGGATGATGTAAGATCGACGCGTGTTTGTCTTCATTTCCTTCCTACTTGTCACGTAACGGCTAGCAATGTAGTGTGGCTCGGCGCTGTATTCGGGAGGTAAAAGCGACAACATGATGGCTGAAAGGATTTCAGAAGAATGCATCGAAGATGCTTCCTTCGGGGTCCAGTTACCGTCGAGGGGGACCATTCTGGGGCGACTGTAGAACACAACGATAGCCATAAAGGACTTTGTGATGAGCGGGACGAATATGTTACTGTTCTTATCGGGGGCTGACAGCGTCAAAGGCCGCACATCCTTACTACACGCTGTTTGGCGATTGCGAGTGCAGCACATTGATGACAGTTACGATGTTTCGGAAAAGCACCATACCCCTACATCTGCAAACCAAACTCGAGGCGGGTACGTTACTGTGCATGGAAATACACGAAGCGCAAAAAGATAAGGGCAGTTGCTGCAGTGATCATACCACGCGCACAGCAAACTTAGTGGGCCTGGTCCCAGCAAATTGTACGACCCGTTATAGGACGGAAATATGACCGAATGCCTTCTATAACCTTTCCGTGTCGATGCCTAGAAGACACAACCTCTCAGGACTATCAACGAGACATTGCAGAAGCAAGGGATATGGTCGGAGTCAGGTACCCGGCCTGATCCGCGCGAAATGTACACCGACAAAAAGTTTCGCTCGACAGATCAGCTCTTTTAGCTGTATTCCAGTCAGCGGGCTCGTGCTGTACACTCCTAAGCACTTTGTACATGCCAGAGTACGCGTGCGGCGAACCTGCGCTGTATACCTAGCACATACGCTGCCGCCATAATTAGGCCGTCGATCTCGTGGCCATCGGATCGCAGAGGTCTTACAGTTGGATTCGATTCTATCATTAACATACGGTTGACCACAGCTAGCCCGAATGTATCGTTTTGCACAGTTTCGTGATCTGCTTCGATTCACCATCGACGGCCAAAACCCGAATCTTCACAAGATGACATGCTGCAAGAAAACGCTCGGTAGTAAATCGGACTCTTTACAACTCGTTCCCGTAGCTCCTGTCATGCTCTGAGTTCACAAAACACAGACATCTCAATGTACGATACGAGACAAGTAGAGACAATGTTCCCGCCTCGCTTTACTATAACAAGTGCAGCGCACTTTTGCCGTTCTTCGAGTGCATGGACCATCAATTTTAGCCTTGAATCGGCCGTCCGTCTGCCAGTGCAGCACGACCACGGCCGATGTCGTTTATGCATGACGTCAATTGTGTGAGGCATCAAGCATTACAGAGACACGCCTACCGCGCATTAAACGGGCACGGCTGGACCCACGATGTTTATCTTTGGCCTCTAACCCGGTCAATCCATTCTCGATATGTTATGTAGAATCCCGGTGAACATATCGTGAAGTACTCCAGAGCGTAGTTATGCCGGAGGTGTACTGTGTCGGCGGTCGCAAACTCTCAATTTTCCATTCCTCACACGCATTATTATTTTAGATTCCATCATCGTCATTGCCTTTGTCGAAATGTTGGGAGAATGCGGTCGCTAGAACAACTTTGCATCGATCAACGTAGCGTAGCGAACTGTCTTTGTGTACGATGCTGTGGCTTCATAAATCCGATTCGGACGATTTTCCTGTAGTAACATAGCGGCGACGGTGATGACAATTTATTTTGTTGTTGTACACGTCATCACTAACGTACTAACGTCGTCGCAGCGCAAAACGCGACAACGAAACACCCACTCCCGAAGCAGTGTGTGGCTACTGCCTCATTATAGGTGGTTCTAATTTACATCATGTCACTCACTTCTCGTCAACACGCTGAACAGTAGAGGCTAAAACCCCGCGAAAATAGAGTCTGACACGAACGCAACCAATAACCGATCGGCTGAGTGCAAGTCCCCGTACGATGGCAGATTCATAAGTACTAGTTCTTTCGAGGTATGTACTTGCTCCACACCTCTCTCCCCCCAGCAACTAAAGCTGAGGCTCTGCAATGTTACTCACGTCAAGGAACGAAACACAACTGTGCGCATCAGAATGATTGGCATGGTTCTATGCGTTGCTCCTTGCGGCAATGAGGACAACGAACTTTCATCTTTTTTGTAGTGATCGCAGTACCTAGATGGCTAATCAAGTAAACCACAAAGTTTGCTATAATTCTGTCTTTCGACTTTAGTCCATGTGGGGATTCTCACCTGCTCGATTGACCATCCTACGTGCCAAACGAAACTAGCGTTCATTCTGGCTATCCATCTTCGTCCGCCCTCACTTAGTGAGTCAGTAACGGCTATCTTGCGGGTTGTATGCGATCGACCTATGACATACAAGCACCCTGTTGTACTTTTACGATCTCCCTGGGTCACATAAAATAATTGCTGTGAGTAGGCAGTGACCTGTAAAGCAGACCTGCTTACTCAACTGTCTTCGTAGAAGGAAGTTGATTTCTTGTCTTTCTTGCCCACCCATGCGCAACGGCGGCGACACAAGCTGTGTCTCCGCAGTTGACTTGTCTCCACCGGGCGCTCGAGCATACCTTTTCACTCCTTCTGACCCTTCCTAGACCAACAACAGGGGAAACAAGCGAAATCGTACTAGAGCAGTGAGAAGGTGAGGTATATATAAGTACGCGTACGGCCTGCTATATCCTGTCACCCGGCAACAAGATTACTGTGATTACTTTATGTGATAGGTAGCACTAGGTCTCGGACAGCAGAGCGCCTACGCGCAGACTCCTATCTCGAGACGATCAGGTTTCTCGTTGTCAGTTCGGGGCCCTGTTTTACGGGTTGTTCGGCCCGAGAGGGTTCCAACTAATGACTGACAATAGAATCAAGGAAGGTCGTAGCCTCCTGGACTAGACCGGGGTTAGAAGTAGTGTGCGCTTGAACCGAAGCTCCTGTGTTTATAACAATATTCGCCAGTCGATCCGCTATTTTGTTGTAGGTGCGATAATGATGTCCCCAGCTGGAGGCATTCATATCGTTAGCGACGGTGCTTGCCTCTGGAAACAACCGCACCAAGTGCCGCTTGAGTGGAGGGTGCCATGTTCGGAGTTGCGAAAGCACAATTGCACTGTCTCTAATGACATGCAGGAATGAGATCTCGTTGGTCTTTGCTTGCCGAAGACAATGGACGAGCCCCCAGTATTCAGCGATATTGTTAGTAGTATCGGCAGAGTCATAGGCCACGCTCGATACCCATAAAACGCATGCGGCGTGCGTGGAATGGAGTCGGACAATAACAGACCCAGCTTCGCCTGGACCTGGATTTCCGCGGGATCCTCCATCGAAAAAGAGGAGGTATAGCCCTCCTGTGCACCGTTCGATAGGCCGTACTAGCAACGAAGGAGGTCAGTCGTAGCAGAGGAGGGTATCAGCCAAGGCCGACCGTACCTGCGCAAACAGTTGCCCGTCCTCACCCATGTCGGGCTGGTAGGTTGATCCACGAAACCATTGAACCGACCGACGAAAGATAGTCTTGGCACTGGCTTTGTGCACCTCCTGTGATCGAGACGAGTCTTTCATGCGGCGGACGCGCTCGACCCAGATGACATGAAGAGTCATACGACAAAACGCCACAGCTCTCGAGCTGCCGGGAAGACCGTAGCCTGAGCTTCGTTAAATCAGCCCCTGTGTCCATAGATTGCTTGACGACATCCCAGAGAGATCGTACTAGAGCAGCGTATGATCACCCGTCACAGGTATACAGGATGCTATTCAATATTGAAAACCCTACATCACCTTCGTCAAACTCCGCAGACCAGCAATTCCCAGTGCGTACACTACCTGATCGAGCGCCTTTACATCCGTCCCCATTCCCTGGACACCGCCAGCATAAGCATCGAAAGTCTGCTGCCCGAGGAGCACCACCGCCGCCCACACATACGCAGCCCCATGTTTGTACCGTGTCCGCCTTTAGAGATTGGTTTCCCACGCAGTTGCAGCCGCGCCACGAGCTCCACAAGACGCAGCTTCAACATTGACAGCTTCACGCGTGTCTCACGTTCATTATGTCCGCAGTTGGCACTGGCGGCGGCGGCACCGACCGCCCAAAAACAACCGTTGATCCGGTGCCTACACAACATCGCAAGACACTGCGCGGATGGCCTTCGGGTACTGAGCTGGACGCACAACTACCGGAGCACAAAAAAAGATAGCGGATAGAGCCGTCAACATCGCAATGGACTCGCCTCACTCTTCTTCCTCGGTCCAGACCGATCATCCGATCTTGCACGTTTCCTCGTCAACGGCGGATGGCACTGGACATTCGCAGGCTTGTCTATGCAACAAGCAGCATCGAAGAAATGTGACATGCTGGGAGACGCAGGTGCTCCGCTCCACATCACACGACGGTTGTTATGACCCTGACCGGCGCCAGTCATCCGTGGCTGCCGACCACCCCATTTCATGTTTTTTTACAATATAGCGTAGCACGCTTGGTCATTAGGGATCTCCTGAAGTATCGCAATGCACCTCATCACAATACGCAACAAACCAAGAACTGTTGGCACTAGCATGTTGTCCGTGCCCAACACCTTCCTATGGTAACCACATGACTGCACTCCACGAAATCGTCCTCGTTCCTGTCGGTATCGGAATGGTTACCTTGGACGGTAAACTCTCGTTCGCATGCGTGCAAGAAGTCGACCAGGAACGCATCGGTCTCAATCATCACAACTATTATTGCGTATGGAGGATGTGTCGTACGTGACATTGCAATGTTTCTCGTCGTTACTGCCCCCTCGCATAAACGCTTAACGAGACGTACAGCATCATCTGGCGACTACAGCGCAACAGCGGGGACATACGTCATGTAAGCGGTGATCCCGTTAGTAGTGTTCCCGCTCTGTTAGATGAAAGGCGTAACCAGGTTGCACGTTCGGGCTATCTTAGCTCCTTCTTTGTGCTTTATCTGGTTACCACTGTCATCTACCGATCAGCTTTCGAGTTGGGCCCGAGAGACGTTAGCGTAGGCGATAAAATGGCAAGCGACTTATTCCAGTGACGGCCACTCCCACGGTCACCGTAGCAGCAATTGTATTGGTGAAGCAGCTGTAGCGGCAAAAGTCCCAACACTAATAGGAGACCTCTAGGGGTCCAGGGCTGTAGTGGTTTACACATACGATCTGGTGTACAACTTTGCGTCGATGAAACATCTCGATAGTTTGTCATTTGTTCTGCTGTGCGGCAACTTCGCTGAACACATGGATGAATCAAGCAGGAACATGTAACGATATACGTGCGGCATCAGCACCTCTTGGGCAGCGCTCTATGCACTTATGGATTTCGTTGCAGATGAAGTGTTTGCCGTGACAAAATTCGGCAATTTCTTGCTAAGTTTTGAATCTGATCCGGGACATACGTGCCACTACATGCGCGTTCAGACCCGTAGTATCTTTCTATCCACTGCTCTTACATCGTTGACCTAGCGTGATGGTAGAGCTAATATGCAATAGCAAGCCCGGCAACTTTGCACTCGCGACTCACTTGACGGTATCCACACGATTCTGCTCCTTTCACAGAGTTTGCTTGCATTACTCGTCCATAGGACTGATGTCGTCTTCGATCTCGTTGTAGCAGTTACCTGCTCTATCGTCTGATTTATTATACTTGCATAAATTCACTCAGGAGACCAGGCTCGAGGCGGAGAGCTGTACATTGCGTGTATGTGGCTCCTTGTGACACTTTTGACATAGTGGTATCTCCACCACGCGGTTCCTACATTAGAAATACCAACACACCCGCTATCATCCTACGACCCGCTAGCAACAAAGTGATTAGGGAAGTGATGTATGTTTACATTGCTTTACTACATTGGCTTCAACCCCCAACGTTCGTCGGCACACCATTTGCAGTATGTGCAATGCTTGCCAACGCTTACTACTTTTTCCGACGACTCGAACAGTCATCCGACAGCGCAATCGAAACGATTCATCTATCAGTGGCGCATCTAGCGTAGACTTTGCGTCTACGTCGCAGCTTCTTGATGTTGTTTTGCAATACTTGTTGATCATCATAGCTGAATAACCTAGTTAGCTCTTTGTTAGCTCATGTGTGAAGTGATGTCTACCGATGTATGAGCAAAACAACTGCGGCTTCGCACGCCTTACTATCTAATGCTTTGCATTTCGAGCTTTTTTGCTTGCTTTGTGGCAACATCGCCGTACATCTTCGTAATTACCTGAGATCGTGCTAAGGTGGTAGAAAGAGTCGATGCTGCAGAGGGATTATAGGAACGAAATCAATCAAAGGGTATATGACTGAAACGAAAGCATGTGCAGCTGCTGGACATTGTGCAAATACAACGATAAAGACCCATCTGACCCACCGAAGCGAAGTTGCTGGACGGTGTGACCTGATGTTGTTGAGGTTGGTTTGCCTTGAACACGAAATTTGAGGCATCGAATGCTCTTATATCTATTCCCAACGACGCTTGACTCTGGTAAGTTGAGTAACGGCAGACGCACGTTTGAATGCAGCCATCAACGAGTTGGATCGCACGGCATTCAGCAGGAGCAATACGATGATATATGGAGGTGACGACTTTGTTGTTTGTTGCTGAAACACACTCACCTTCTGCGATGTCTTTATTTAAGTGTGGAACGTATCCCAACTCACTGCGCGAGATACGCCGATGGCGTTGGCAGCCCATCCAACTCTGCTTGAACAGCATTGAGCTGCAGGAACAACGAGCGCAGTTCTTCGTGCGATAGCTCGACATCCAGCTTTTCAGTCTACACGCACGTATTAGAGATAGCTCCTCACTATTAATACCTTCACTTCCGTACCAGCTTCGAAATGGAGGCCTCGTCTACCACATCCAGCTGGAATATTGCCGTCGGCTGTAGATGGCCCGCACGCTTGCTGCTTCCCATTTGCAGGTGCAGACGCCAGCCGGTCTTTTGTAGCACCAGTGAGGACCCCTCTCCTTCTCGGGCCGCCGCAATACGCTCTGCTACTACGCTTCCGACCTCTTTCCACGCCTCTTCCACTGCACGCACCACACTGCCGTCCGCGCCACGCGACAGCAGCAAGTTCCGGTCGACATGTCCGAACATAGCGGCGTCTCGAAAGATGCATTTGGCGACGTCCACGACCTCGTCGATTTGACGGATTTCGAGCCCCAACAGCGACTGTAGCGGGTGCTTTTCCCTGTCAGTGTACACTTCAGAAGCCTGTGCTACAATACAGCATTGAGCAGTAAGAACAGCAATGAACAGCGCTTCTTGATGATAACTTTAGCTCGTGACTCGTACGTTGACTGCCATCTTGTTCAGCACGCGAGTTAGCACATGCCCTATCCCATTGTGTGCCACAGCGTTAAGAACCACAAACGAGTGAGCTGTGCCAAGGGATGTGACAGCTTTGGCTTCAATAGCAGCAGCACCAACGCCGCGACTTGTCATGGAAGGGATCTAAATTACGTGAAAATGGTCCATCGTGCATTGTGTGTACTAAAGCGATCACAAAACTTGGAGCACAATATCGTCCGAAGCGGGGACTATATGTACAGATTCGGAGAAAGTCATTGTCAAAGCTTCCTGTTTGACCACACTGTGCGGTTAAAATATACATTAGGACAGCGTTGATCACGTAAACACTATCGCTTCGTTGGATGTAGCAGATCGTCAGATCGTTCGAACTTGCGAACAGGAAGCCCGTGCACCAACCAGCTTTACAGTTCCTCACCTTGTACCAGGTCCCGGTCATCATAGACATGGGACGAGCCTGAAGAAAACCATTGATAGCGCTGCACAAGGCAATACGATGGGGCAGGTTGTCGCCTAGTTGAGATAGCACCTCCGTCAAATTTGGAGCTCTCACTCTCCGCGTTGTCAAGACCACACACCAATTACATCGACGTTGCATCACCGATTGATGCCAGCAATAGCAACAACAATAGCAAAACAGCAACTGTAAAACTGTAACGGGGTGGGCCAGTTACATAAAAATTGATACGAATGTATCAATTTTTGAATATCATCTATTTAGATAATATTCAATTAACATTTCTCGAGAAAAGGTGATGTTGGCGGAAATATTACCCCCGGGTATAATATTCTTGGATGATCCACTTATTGGTTGATGAAGCGTCTACATCAACCAAATTAACCACCAATCACTGCTGGACGCGCGCAATGGGTGTTGAGCAAGAATCCCACATAAGAGATTGTAGTTTAATATAGTTAGATCAAGACAAAAAAACGTCCTTTAAAAAACTTAACTATATAAAAGAAAATTCTACTTTTTTAAACAGAGATTCCAGATTCTGTCTACTTCCTCGCGCTTCCTCACACCACGTGTACGTGACATCTGGGGAACGCAGCCTTGTTCCATTAACACAAGGTCTTAGTAGTCATCTGGTAAAAGCGTGCCTCGTTACACCTCGTAGCACTTCAGACCCGATTCAAACAGACCTTTGACCCGCCAAGGGCTGAGTTCATAGCTTGATCAGAGATCCCGAAAATCAAGCAGGGCAAGCGTGATGTGCACGCTTACGCTCAGCATATACGACTCCTCGCGGGTAGTATAACTGCTAACCCAGTCCATGAACACACGTTGATCACTGTGTTCATGCAACGCCTCGCAGATGGTCGCGTCAGGAATCAACTGCTTCGCTTAGAGCTGGATACGCTTGAACAAGCAATCGTTGCTGCGGAACAGGAAGACGTTAGCATGAGACAGGCTTATGCTAGCTCGATCTCTTATCTCCCACCGAGACGACAGGAGATCAGGAGGTTCAGAACCCAATGAGACCTCTGCTATGTTGATATCGAGAGACCTCGCTCTTCGAACAATAATCGATTGCAAAAGTGCTATCGCTGTCAGAAGTTAAGACGCTACGCTTATGATGTGTAGTGCCCCACGCCCAGTACCAAGCAGTACTGAGCGAAATGAACGACCATTTGCCAGAAAGGGCTATGGGCGTAGGGTCCAACGCTGTTGCGGAGCCGCAACAGCGAAGCGGACCATCAAAGAATATACGGAGTCAGTAGGGGCGGAGCGCCCTACTGATCCAGTAACTTCAAGAGAGTTGGCAAATCTCTTGACGAAAGTTGCTCCAGATACAAATTCATTGTGTGTATCTGCACCTGGTGATGACATTTCACTCATCATATTAAAGTTGCAAGTGACAACATGATTTGTCACTTCGCGCCCTAGTTGACTGTGGGGCGTCGAACAACTTTGTTCGTCGCCAGTCACTAGAGAGTCGTAGGCTCAAGTTCGTTGAGCGCGACCTCCCTCTAACGAGGGTGACGGTGCGCCGTGCCACAGGCGTATCGATACCGTTGAGAAGCGTGTAGTTAGAATTCACTACACATAAAAAGGCGAACAGTATGAATGATGAATTCGTCGTACTCGATCTGGATGACAAATTCGACAGTCATCCTGAAATTACCTTGGCTTAGAAGATACAGCCAAGAGTGAGCTGGCAGCATCGATCCGTACGAGATGCCTGCCGCTTGTGCATCATATTGTCATCCGATGACCGCTTTGAAGCTTCCACAAGCGTGTGTATGTTCTGCGAGTGAGTGCGATGGCCTCACTTGCGGTGCAATTGTTAGCACGACTACACAAGACCTCAGTGTAGCTGATCACTACACTGTGGAGCAATCTCCCGGCAGCTTTAAAGAAGTAAGGCAGTACAGAAGTTCCTCCACTCGAATAAGACGAGTGGATCGGGACATGTTACCATAGCTAGCGGGCAATATCCAAGGATGAACAAACCGGTTGCCTTTATTGACGTCAAACTGGTCATTCTAGGTTGACTGGCGAGTCGATTGTAAAGGATCGGTACCCGACTGTGGTTGCACAGCCACATACAAAAGACGTCGAGGGAATAAGTCCACATGTACTTGAGGGACGGATTTTCTTAAGAATTGCTTGCTGAGAGGTTAGGCTCTCAGCAACCTGAGCGAACAAGCCCTCAGCAGCCTGTAGAAGCTATTTCACAGGAAGAAACCGAGACGTTGAACGTCTTGGTCAATGACGGATCAGGCGTAGGCGCTTATACGCTTGATTTAATTGTGCCTCCGAATTTGAGCTCGGAGATAACTCAATTGCCAACGCTAGAATCGAAACGGTTCTTGCGCGATTTGCGTAGTGGCAAAGTCAAACAGATCTGCATAATTATCACAGAGGATGAATATATGGCCGATATTCGGTCGGCAACAGTGTCTTCTGATAACGAACGGGTTCTCAGCATCTCATCGATGGACGATAGTGTCCTCGATGAGAAGACTCGGATTGAGCGATGCACGTCTCATTCCTGGAAGTCGCTTTAGGCAAATCTTTTATAATAGGATTTGATGGAAATGCAGGCATGTATTCCCTGAATCCGTACCATGATAGTTGCCTAAGGATAAAGGCACTCGACACGAGATCGAGCTCAAACCGGGCTAGAAGTACTGTATCATGAAGCAGTGGCCACTGCCTCGTGAAGAAGTACTAGCGATGGATAAATTATTTTCTGATCGCTTTGCAGCAGGCCATGTGAGGGATTAAACTTCCCCTCACAGTTCTCCGACCTTCTGTGTGCAAAAGGCAGTAGGAGGATGGAAGATAGTGCACTCTTTCAACTAGTTGAATACTGTAGCGGTACCGGCTCAGACACCGATACCGAGGAAGGAAGTAATCATAGCTGGTATGTCTAAGAGTACCAACTTCTCGTCCATGGATCTGATGGATGGCTTCTACCAGATCGTCATGCGTGAACAAAACATCCCGTACACATCAGTGATCACCCCCATCGGCATGCTTTGATAGTTACTAGTGATGCCACAGTGTCTGAGTAACGCCCCTGCAACGGTCAACAGTTGTGTTACAAATCTGTTGAGACCGGTGCGATATTTTGAACCGAGGTGTTTTTACGATGTGTTCATTCATAGCCGGGCAATGGCCGGAACACGGACGCGAAAGTTCCATGAGCGCACGTTCATCAGGTCCTTCATCTTATGCGCAAGCATTAGTTGTATGCTTCTCAAGCATCCTCAAGAAGTGTATATTCGTTGCTAGCGAAATACCACTTCTCGGTTGCATCGTGGGTAAACACGGCGTACGCCCTGATACTGAAAAGACCATGGCGATCACCGACTATAACGTGCTAGTCGATGTCAAGGGACCAAGGAAGTTCCTTGAGATAGCAGCGTACTTGCCCAAGTACTCGCGCAACTACGCCGAAATGACTGTGCATCTTTCTTGATTACTCAAGAAACGTGTGAAGTGGTCATGGAACGCTGACTGTCAGCGTTCCCTGAAGTATCAATCAGAGCTTGATGCAATAGCCCATACTGGCGATTGTAGATCAAGACAGACCGTTATGCGTGGTCTGTTACGCAGCAATTTTGCAATCGGCTGTGTTGATGCAATTTGAAACAGATGGAGAAGAGGCCGTCATCTGATATTGATCTCGTCAGCTGATATCAGCTGGGCGTAATTACCCAGTGCACGAAAAGGAACTATTTGCCATGAAATATGCACTGGCTATAGTTACTTGTCTATATCTTGGATAATAGACAGTTCACATTCTATACGGATCATACGTCACGACGCACGGCCGTAACCAGTCCACACCTCTCGCAAAGAATGGCGAGGTGGCTGTTTTTTCTTCGCGGATTGCACCTTCTTCGTCGAATACAAACCAGAACAACCAAATCTCGCCGCGGATGCGCTTTCGCGCCGACCCGATTGCGAGCCGGGCGCTCAATTTACCAGTGAGGATAATCCCACTTTTGTGACAATTACAGTCAGTGTCTTGTTGTCAACTTTACTTGACGACGTAAGAAAGGCCTACGCGGAAGATAAGGATCTTTTGCGCTAGATAGATCACCTGGAAAACTGAACTCGTAAATCATTGAAACATTTATCGGTTTTGTACCGTTCCTCTTTGGATCGGTACACAACAAGAAACGGGTTGCTGTAACTGTACAGGCGTGGCCGGCGACACGACTCGTGTCGTCGTCCCCGATCATGATGCTTTGCGATTGAGCATCTTGTATGAGTGTCACGATGCCCCAAATGGTGGCCTTCGTGGTAGAGAAAGGACTTACCTTACGGTAAGTAATGACTTTTACTGGCCTCGAAATATCAGTTTATACGCAAGTACATTCGTGATTGCTAGTCTTATCAACGGGTGATATCATAGTCCTTCATCTCGTGCGTCCATTGCAGCCTCTGCCTGTTCCGACAAAGTGCTGGCAGTCCGTTTACATGGACTTCGGCTTCGACTTCTCGAAAACGACCGCAAGAATAATGGTGTTATTGTGTTTGTTGACCGGTTTAGCAAGATGGTGCATCTTGCTGCAGTACCCTAGTCGATCACGGCACAAGGCTATGCTCGTGTCTTTGTCGACACGGTACTTTAGACTCCACGGGCTACCCCGTAAGCTTGTTTCCGACCGTGATC